TAATTACATTCAACCTTTCTCTACATTTGTAATTATAGATATTTATCTGGCCAGTAAACCTTGTTATGTAGCATTTCACAACTTGTGAAAACATTTTTTCGGTGATCACCAAGTTTGTATACTTTGGTATTGTGTACATTTGTTTACAGCATGTATCGATAGTTTAGTTTAGTTTAGTTTAGTTTAGTTTAGTTTAGTTTAGTTCAGTTTGACTATTGGATAAACTGTTTTGTTAGTTTCAATAAAGTTTGAAATATTTGCATACCTTACGTAGACTTGGTTTCCTTAGATTGGTTTAGTTAGTATTTAGTTAGACTTTTAGATTAGTTGTTGAGTTAGTTTCAATAAAGTATCATATTTAATTATAACCAGGTGAGTGTGTGTGTTTGAATCAGTTCTATTTGCTTCTTTCACCTTTCTACACGTATGCAAATAAACTTGGATAGGTATTAAATAATAATAATAATCAGATTAGAATTAGTTTGGGTTGGGTTTTTTTCTGACTGCCCTACCACAGACTGACTTAGTTTGAAATCATTTCCCCCATCTGCACTTCTTTTTTTTCACATTTACATAACAGCATGCCTTGATCTATTCCTTCGTGTTGTTTTGTTGGTCTTATATTCACACCGTGTATTAGTTATCTTAGGTACTTTATTTCATTATGTAGCATTTTAGTATCTACTTTTATTTTTCACTGAGATTATTTTTTTCTAGGAAATATTTTGCAATCAATTTTTTTATATTCCATTGCAGCTGTTTTTCTTTCAGATTGCAGGTGTGACTCGGTGATCATCTCTATTCATTTTCAGATTTCAGTTATCAGCATCTTTCAAAACTTCTGTGACTTTTTATAGTCTTTGCACATCTTCTTCACATGCTTTTGTGATCTTCATTTGGATTTTGTAATCCTTCCACTCGACTGCATCATAATCATACATCATGAATCTTAAAGAAGAAGAGATGAAAAGTTTGTTAACTATATTTACAAAGATGGGACTGTCTCCAAAGGTTGAGAACCCGGAAGACTTTAAAGCTTGGATTCAAGGAATGGCACAACAGGAAGGACCTATTGTAAAGACAGAGCCTGATGTCAAAGGCGCCTTCTCAGCCACTAATCCTGAACTTGCTGCTCCACCTTCAACATCTGGCATAACATATGACCACTTTCCCAAGATACCATTCTTTAGCGGAGAGACTGGAAAGGACACTCCATATGGCTTGTGGAAATATGAAGTTGACTGTCTTCTACAGTCAAAGACTCATTCTCTAGATGTTATACTCCAGGTTATCAGAACATCTTTGAAGGGAGAAGCCGCACTGGTTGCCATGAAGCTTGGACACACTGCCACAGATGAGGACCTCTTGTTCAAGATCCATTCTGCTTTTGGAACTTTGAGAAGGAAGGAGACCCTGATGTCACAGTTTTATGATACTTTCCAAGGAGACAAGGAAGATGTTACAGCAAGGGGTTGCCGGCTGGAGAACTTCATGTACCAGATAGCCTCCCAACGTCAGATGAACTTTGAGGAACAGGATGAAATGCTCCGAAGCAGCACAAAGACCCAGAACTATTTCTTTCTGGCACATCCATCGACGTACTAGAGGATGCCAAGTTTTTTGGGGCCTAATTTCGGCCGCCACCTGAAATTCTTGCCATTGCCACAATATCTCAAGGCAAAGTGCCTGAAAGCACTAGACTTATTGAAAGTCGTATCAGACTCTAAGTGGGGAGGGGATCAGACAACCCTTCTCCATTTGTACAGATCTTTGATTCGCTCAAAATTGGACTACGGTCCCATCATTTATGGTGTAGCCTGTTAAAATAATTCAATGCAGGGCTTGAGGCTCTGTCCTGGAGCTTTCAGGACCTCTCCTGTTGACAGACTCTATGTGGAGGCTGATGAACCATCACTAAAACAACGCCGTTTAAAACGTGCTTTACAATATATCACAAAATTAAAATCAAACCCGTCCAATCCATCATATGATCGCATTTTTAATCCTCCCTACGAAACTAAACCGAAACTGGTTCCACCACTTTAGATCAGAATGAAACCTTTAATAACAGCAGCAAATATTGACCTTGATTTTATTGCACAGTACCGATTACTGTCTACACCTCCTCGGCAATTAGTCCAACCTGATGTAGACCTCACACTTACTAATTTTTAAAAAATCAGATACAAACCAGTTAGTCTTTCAGCAAGAATATGTCAAGTTCATATCAAAGTATGATTCTCACCGCTCCATCTTCACTGATGGATCCAATGATGGTGGCAAGGTTGCCAGTGCTACCATCTTTGGATCAAAAATAATTTTTTCCTGATTACCAGACAATAGTTCTATCTTTACAGCTGAAGCCAAGGCTATTCAAAAAGCCTTGGAATATATCCAGAAACAAAATACATGTACAAACTTCATAATTTTCTCTGATTCTTTATCATGCCTTAAAAAATGTCCACTCAAATCATCCACTAATTCTTGATATTTTAGAATTATACAATACTCTGGCCACTAGCCAATACGATATCGTTCTGTGTTGGTTACAAAGTCATGTTGAAATTGCTGGTAACGCACGAGCTGATGCTGCAGCTAAAGCAGCTCTTAATAAATCAGTCTCTTGCCTTTCACTTCCCTACGGTGATTTTAAACCATACATCCAGGAATATGTGCAAGATTTGAAGCAGAAAAGATAGGACACTCAAGTAGGTAAAAATAAACTCCATGAATTTAATTAACCCAAATTAGGCTACACCTACTTGGGTTGGTATTGTAGACGTGACGAAGTCATTTTCAGACGATCCGCATCGGCCATACACTTTTTAAAAACACGAATTTATATACTGAACAGCATTGAAAACGCACCACCATGAAAATGGGTGTATTTTTATCAGGGCTTAAGTCATATGAAAATATATAAGTGAATGAGTAATATACGACGTTCTGGACGAAGCATGAAGAAGAACAGCTCATCAAAACACATTCCTAAATTTTTTGTGAGCGAAATCGCCAAAACGCAACAGATTGCGTGTTTTGATTCACGGGAAGCATGCAGAATAGGGCTATAAAAGACAGGCTTTTAAAAACCACATCACTTGTTGCTGCAGACGTAAAGGGTACTGACACAAGAAATGCCAAGATTAACAGCAGAGGAACGTGAACGTGCCTTGGGCATGCTTCAAGTTGGTACGTCAAGTAGAGTCGTTGCACAACGGTTCAATGCCATCATTCAACAGTCCTCAGGCTACTGAGCAGATACCAGCAGACAAGAACCACCAGAGATCGACCACGTCCGGGTCAACGTCGTGTAACTACACCACGTCAGGATCGCCATATTGTTCGTCGGCATCTTCGTGATCGTACACTTCCGGCTACCAGGACTGCAGCAACCTTACAAGGCCGACGGAATTGATCAGTGCTGCTACCGTACGTCGACGTCTCCGCTCAGCAGGGCTACGTGCTCGACGTCTATATCTTGCACCCATACTCACTGATCGACATCGAAATGAACGTCTGCGTTGGGCCCCCATGGTGGGGGGCGGCATCAGTCATGACAATCGAACAGAGCTCCATGTTTGTCGTGGAAGAGTTGATGCCCTTTACTACAGGAATAACATATTGGCAAATCACGTTATCCCGTTCTTTCATCAGCACCAGGATATGCACACCTTCCAGCAAGATAATGCAAGAGCGCACACAGCACGTGTTTCAACACAGTACCTAGCGAACAATAATGTGCCTCTGCTTCCATGGCCAGCCCTGTCACCCGATCTATCGCCAACGCCTCTCACGTCGTCCGCAAGTACAGAACCTGAGAGAACTTGAAGATACACTACGTCAAGAGTGGAATGCCCAAAAACACTATTCGCAGACTTATTCGATCAATGAGAAGACGTTGCATGGCCTGTGTTGCTGTCAATGGCGGGCATACCAGATATTGACTTTTTATTTTAACCCTATGTGTCTTCCTCATACTGATGACGTAATTTTAATTATTGTGTGGTATTCCTGTTTCCTTTGTCGTCTTTCTTAATAACCCGTCTATGTCTGTTCTAATCAAAATCGGTCATTGCTCAAGTTGTTTTTGTAATATTTTAAGATTTATTGCTGGTGCGTTTTCAATGCTGTTCAGTATATATTGAAGGGCCAAAATCCTCCATTCTGTGTCCCTTGTGATGAAAGGTTCACTGTCAAGGATACCTTGCTTGACCGTGTAGACTTTTCTATCGCAAGGGATAATTTTTATCATTCAACTTCATAAAAGGATCTTTTTACGAATGTCGGTGTTTGTTTTATTCTTGCCTTTTTAAGAGACACTGAATTCTTTGATAAATTTTGAACTATTTAAGAAGAGTGTAATATTATCAACGGATGTTATTGAAGGCAGGGGCACCAAGGGGGTTAAAGTAGTGTAAAATTATTGTCCGTGAGTCCATCCATACTGAAGTATATAAAATTGACTTGTGTTTTATTTCCCTGATTGTAGTTTGTTTTTAAAATTTTGGTTAGCATTACATACAACCACTGGTGACCAAATTGATAGCATAAATCATGCAGGAAGCAAAAGCACTGTAAGTCCACATGATCCCCAGTTGGGTGGTCTAGCTTTGATTGCTAGTCGTCTATAGCCTGGTTTTTAATTTATATTAACTAATTGACTGAACAATTCTTTGTTTTCATACAGATCAGGTTTGTTTTATATCTCAACTCTGATATTTACCTTACTGTTTTACTGTCCTTTGTCGACAGGAATTTTATTATAATAAACTTATTCTCATCGCGATATAGCTACTATATTGCCGATGCGATGTTAACTTATAACTCACTCACCCACATTGTTGTCAGTAGCACACCAGGTTCAGGGCCTTCATGGTACGTAACTTCACACATCTCTTTCCACGGCACTGCACGTGTTCCCCGGGGAGGTCTGGCTTGCTGGGAATGACGTCTTTGTAGGTCGGCTTTAAGTGGAATAGTGGTTGTTGATGGCCTGTTAGTTATGGGGGTCCTGGGGATACAAACACACGAAATGAACGGGCAACTGTCCTATTGGAGTATCTGTCCACACAGTTGAATCTATTGGTAGAACCATTATTCAGATGTCCAAATCGATTTCTGTTAAGAGACCTTTTTTGTAGTAGAGTTGACGCGTATTATACAGACGACCTTGGCTTCTGTCCATGTAGAAAACTATTGATGTGTGACTTCATCTAATTTTATCGACTTCCGACAGTGCTATAAACATCATGGTCTAGTTCGTGTCGCGTGAGTCAGTAGTGAAGTGGATGAAGGGATGAAGCTATGCCCATGTGATAGGCGTACTGAATACAATCACATTCAGGCAGTGATGTAAGCATGGCGTCAAAACCAAGCCACTGTGTCCCCTACATCATAGGTGGAGCAAGTTGACATGAAACATATACAAGTGAGTCCAAATTGACAGACCACTCCCCCTCCACAAATGACACATCGGAGGTCCAAATGTCTCAGCATGTGTCTCTTGTGCTCTTCTGGTTATTTTCAGTTTAGTCACCAAGGGCATCTTTTTAACGATGCGTGACGTCTTGCAGTTTTCCATTATTAAGGAGAAATAGTGAATCAGCAGCCCCGAACCAATATCATTTCCCCTTCCGCCCCGGGGGCACAGGTGGCCCAGTCGTTTAAGGCGCCGCGATTCGCTGTACAGAGTTGCGTCCCTTGGTCACGCCAGAAACCTATGATTTTTGGTTCGAATCCCGGTTCGCCCCGATTATGTTTCTAGGTTTGTCAGCACCATACCATTCTACCAAGCTGCGCCAAGCACTTAAGCCTGCTAACAGAAAATAACGTCACACCCCTATCCCAATCACGGCTGCGGCAAACCCATATATTTTACCGGTCTTTACTTATTATACCCTAGATGCTTGTAGACCCACATGAATGCGGTGTTATGTAGTTATTAGTACAGTAGCCGATACAAGGGTGGTTGAAAAGTTTTGATCCTAACAATGAAAGATGTATAGTATACCTCTTACAGTGTCCATATATTACGTACAATACTTCCCATGCTTACAGGTATTGAAACCGCGATACTGCCATCAAGTATCATCAAGTACTGCCATCCATGCGAACATGGTGTCAACTTAAGGCATGGCGCTCCTTCCTTTGCCACTTTTCGGTGGAGTAGAAGGGAGAGCCTCAAAGATGATCCAAGATCATGAAGATCTTCAACTGCCACCACTGAAGAAATAAATGAAAACAATATATGACACGCCCCGACTCGCAACACGTTACACAGCCAATACAGTAGATGTCTCTCATTAGAGAGTTGAGAACATTGAGGAATAAATTAGGCATGACACAGGTTTGGGTTCGCTGGACTCCAAGGCTTCTGATGCCTGATCAGAAACGCTTCAGGTTCATCAACTCTCGCGAGAATGTACGTCGTGTCGAAACAGTGAAAGCAAATTCTGTTATAATCATGGATGAGCATCAGTCAGCGACTAAAGAACTGTAAAGGCAGTGGAAACATCTGATGTCTCCCCCGCAAAGAAGGCAAAATCTGTTCCATCAGCTGGCAAGGTGATGGCTCGGGTAATCTGGAATTCCAAAGGAACCCTTACCTTGGACTGTCTCCCGAAATATCAAACCAATGACCAAAACCATCAATCTACTCAGATAAACTTAGAGAATATCAAGGGTAAACGTCGTGGATTCCTCACTAAAAGTGTGTTACACAAGTCTGTTGTCGACATGGCTGCAATGCATGCACCGCCTCCGTGGTCTGGTGGCAGAGCGTATGACGCGTCATACCAAAATACAAAGTTACGGTACTGGTTATTATCTGCCTGGCGCTCGGCATTAAGGGGGTTAAACAAGTACTTGTCGGCTCGCAGTCCGTGTACTGTGTCTGCGTGGGGTATTCATGTTCAACTGCGGCATGGCATCTCAGTCGGCTAGCACTATAAAGTCGGCATCAGTCCGGACTAGTACGGAGAGAAATTTCCATCCAGAACTGTTTGGCAAGGATTATACAAATGTTGATGATGTCATTTCTGCTGTGGAGGGCGTTGTTCAGACATAATAACAACATTATAAATAACAGGACGCGTATGATATCTCTATGAAGACGAGTATTATTTAAATAGATTTGATACAGAGGCGTGTCACGTAAGATGATGACAGGAACTGATGTGGAGTGATGTCTGTACACTGCTGTCAGATGTTACATACACCATAATTATTGTCCCTCCATAGGAATCTAAAGATACCTACACTAGATGACAAAAACAAAAATGAGGCTGTTTTTCCATATCATGGTTAGGTTTGGATAATATGAGCGTGTACATAGGCGCGACTTATCACCGCAGTAGTGCCCATCTGGAAATACCAGGAGGTGGACATGGGTTATCTGTCCTAATAGAGGCATTGGAAGCAGGAAAATGTAGAACGTTCTTCATGTGCTAAATACACATGGCCACAGGTTTATAGGAACGTAATACAAAGACACTTCATTAGACTACACACTCGGATCCACCCTCTCGTGAATATCGCACATCACAGCCCTTCATCTTTTGCATACATATACGAGGAATATATATAAAACTGTTACTGCTTTGTAAAATTACACATATTCAGTTTACTATTGAACATAAGTTATTAAAGGAACTGAGGAGAGTTGGCATTTGTTCTTATTACAATACAATACCATTATCATGGAAATGAATTTGAATGTCTTTCCATGAAAACGTTACATTTTTGCTGTTCGTTTTTGTTTGTTTGTTGTTGAGTGTCGCACTCAGCAATATCCAAGCTATATGTCGACAGTCTGTAAATAATCGAATCTGGACCAGACAATCCAGTGATTGGCATCATAAGCATCGATCTGCGCAATTGGGATACAATGACATGCATCAACCAAGTCAGCGAGCCTGACCACCCGATCCCGTCAGTCGCCTCTCATGACAGACACGGGCATGACCAATTCTAACCAGGATCGTCACAGATCTTGCAGGTCGTTTCCACTACCGAACATTAGAACTTGTTTAGTTCATCTCAGTTACCAAGCAATTGGATGAGCACTAATAATATCCAAATTTATACATGCTAATTACACAAACTATAATTCCATTTGCAAGCATTCCTACATGAAGAACATAATCACAAGTCAAAATTGAGGCAATTCTGGCGTCATAATGGTGGGTTGAGGTGAAATGGGATTTAACATCGCGTTCAAGATGATTGCACTTATATAGTGACGCGCATGCACATGTGTGTGTCTGCTTGTACTAGCCCTAACTACTGCCAGTTTTATAGCGCAAGCCTACTGCGGTACCATGCCTCAGTTTAACATGGATACCCAACTCAGACACATACTCCGAGCCGACCAGTACCGAGCACCAGGCAGGGTTACAACAAGTAGGCTTCATACTGCACCAATACCGGCCCAATTCAGCATATATGGTAATGTGCCAATACTGATGTATATGGGTCGGCCAAGGATTGGCAGCGTTACGCTGATATCACATTGTTTTAAGAATTTCCGGACAAATGCTAGCTTGGCACAAATGGGCAAATAGCGGTTTACTGATACTGTTCCGGCTAGGTTAACCATCATAAAAGATAATTAACTGGACCGGTAATTCCCCAATGTCGGCTCTCTGCAAGTATACCATTATTGGCTTGATGACACAGGCCTAGGAATGGTTCTATACTGGGCCTGTATTGGGTCAGTACAGAGCGAAGATACTCTCGCCGTGCGTTGCGGGAGACGTTTGCCAGTGGGAGTTGTCTGCCAGATACATGACCATAGTCTGTAAGTTTCACAATACGTTGAATAAGTACTTGATTATTTTATTCACCTTATAATGCAACATCCAAGACTGTGAATGTTATGAAACAACTTAAGTATCGGTCCATTATGTAATGGCACTTTCCAAGTCTATATGCAGTTTATAAACGATAGTCTTCATCATTTCACATACTACATAAGATACTATCACTCACTTTTTAAAAATCAGAGTGTGTAAGCTTAAATTCATGAGTAAACAGCGTAGTTTCTATCCCAAAAAAAGAAAGCGTCCTGTCGCAGGGTTATGCGCTAATTGTTTGAATATCATTTGTAATGAGTCTTTTCAGAATATAGAGTTCGAATGAAGTGAGAATGGGGCTCATATAGACCCATACTACGATCAGTAGTGGGTGAGAACACACAACTCTGTACTGGGCTGTAATAGGGTTCAGTATTGCCTACACGTCAACATGCCCCGTTTGGGGCCAGGAAAGACATACCTGCAATGGACATTTTTGTGACCAATGCAAGCTAAACGATATTGGCCCCGAGTTTTGATCGCGTGATTACAGTCCGGGTTAGAATCGACAGTCAGGTGACGTGCATCTCGAACTAGGCCAATAGCGCTTTGTATACTGCTGCACGTTTTGTTTCTTTCAGTTCGTGCTCGTAATGAACACGCTGCTAAATATAGCCGCAATAGTCACCTGACACTGCCGACCATTACCTGGATTGTTTTCACGTGATCTAAACTCGATGATGATTTTAATCGCTAGCAAAAGGGTTTATTTTTTAAAAGCCCACTTTGCAATTCTTGTCATTACTGAAAGTACTATTCCTTATTGCCGAAATGGCTACATTTTTACTTAATAAGTGTACGCACACATACATCTATCTTCGTTAATTAATAATTGCGCTAACTAGTGATTCTGTTTCCAGTAGCGAGGACTATAAGGCCAGTATACACCCTTCTGAATTTAAAATCCTATGCAATCAGAATGCTCACATTTTATGAGTCAAGATGAATATTCATGAAGGTATGGTCAGATTTTCCCTATGTTCAGTAGTACATTCTTGTAATCAGACGTTGCCTAGTGCCCTGTACATGTTTGTTCGACTGACCATACCAGAGTCATAATTTGCCATTGTGGTCAAGTCACACGTTCTAGCACAACTGTGAGGCGAGGGAAAATATTCCCAGCACACCAGAGTGTGTTCTTCCCCTACCACCTCACCGT